ACGTTAAATTCACGTTAATATGTTTTTTTTATGGGATGAAATCACGTTGTTATGTTTTTTTGGTTTCATTAATTGTTACTTTTCAAAAGTAATTTTTTTGTTGCTAAATTAAATTGTAGTGAGCAGTTTAAGTTACAATTTGTTAATTTTGTTACTAGAATTGTAATGAACGTGTGTTTATAGTATAATCGTATGAATACAATAAAGCTATTTACAAAATATTAAGTATTTTTCCTTCAAAACGAATGATTTTTTTTTTTTTTCATGATGAGCTTTTTCTCCTTTTTTTCAACGGTGAGGCTTTCTCTCATTTTATAGCATTTTTCTCTTAAATGTGTCATTCGTAACAACTAGCTGATGAATTATTCACCAACTTAATGGTGAGACTTGACAACTTGATCTTTGACCTCTTACTATTCCAAGCTAGGCATGTCTTCTTAGGCTTAATGAGACGATGAGCTTCCGAAATGGCATGTTAAATTTATTCCAAAATAACTAAATGGTCACAACCCAACATCTTTTTCATGTTTGTTAAAATGATCTTATTCCGTTGCGATGCGGTCGTATTATTTATGCAGTTGAGCTTTCCTCACAGATTGATAGTATCGGTACTAAAGCTTTTCAATATCTCTTATGTCAGTACTCTTGGTTTTCTTTCTGGATGTGATTTGTTTGATCTCTTAGACCATATAGTCAAAAACAGAAACGACGTTAACCACTTAATGCATCCTCGAGGTCATAGCTCTGATGGTTGGCATTTGTCTCATTAATTGACTTTTTAAGAATTTGGGATTTGAATTTCCGAAGTGATTTTCACCATCTAGGCCATTATTCAATCCAGTTTGTGTTATGTTTGTTTATGCATTTACATAGATTTAGTCATTAGATATCTAACTCTTACCTAAACACTATTATTTGGGGAAAAAATGTAGCACTGCTTGTTAGGTTATCAGTTAAATTACGATTACTTTTTAGAAAAAATTCTTGTTCTTTTCGATTCATAAGTTTATAATTATATAATACTGATAAATAAAAATTAAAAGCACAAAAAATCTCTCCAGACACATTTTTGCTTTTGTTATGCTAGAGTAATCCTCATGTTGTCTTCAGTCTCTCTCTGTTAGCTAGTCTTATTCTTTTCATATCTAGAATTCATTGGATATCTTTTTATGATTGTCCTTTAGCTAATTTCTTATACAAATGTTTCTACTAACTTGGCCAGCTTACGATTTTTTTTACTAATATGAAGAATCTATCAACCATGTTATTCTAGACTTTATACAATTTGTATAACAAAAAGAATATTATAGTTTGGAATTATAGAATATATTTGAAGAGGCTAAAGGTCTTTCGTTGTTGCTTTAGTGTACATAATTTCAGAGACACAAAACAAATACATATAAAAAACAATCATTTCATTCAATGAAGTTTGGCATTTGCAATTATATACAAATATACATTCAATAACAAATATAATTCTCTCTCTTTCAAAAGTTTGTACACTTGCATAGGTCATAGTAGTATAAGAAACTTAAGCCATCAATGCATCTTAAAATTAACCGAAAGATAATTAACATAGATGTATTTTGAAAATTAAAAAGGGAAAAACAATTGACTAATGATGAATTTGAGTACCTCTTTAATAAAAAAAATCTTTAACTGAATGTCTCTTTAAAGAATAATTTCGAGATCTAGACTAATCCTAATATGTTTACACTAATGCAATTGAAATTGTTTTGTACATGAAATGTGCAATGTGATTTATAGATCTTTATGACTTAACGAGTAACGAATCATAGAGTTAATCAACTATCTTATACATTTTCCTTTAAAATTTATGTTAGCTCATTGTCATCATAAATTACCAAAGTAATAATCGAGTTTACTATCCATACAAACCATTAGACTATGTGTTAGAATAAACAACACCTGCCATGCAGTTGATGTTACGCAATTAATTTTGAACAGTATGATATAACAATTTATGATATTTAGTAAACCATCTCATGTGATATATTACATTGTCGTCTTAATTTTACGAAAGTTAACTTTCTTACAAATTCAACTTTGCTATTTTCTTAAAGATATCAGAGATATCATATAAACGCTTGTAAGGGATATGAAAGAACTCTCTCCACTCGTCGGACCGAGATTTGGTCTGCCTATCTTTACAGCTGCTCTGACTTCCAACAAGAGCCACCTGAGGAAGCTCCATTGTGGACTGGCTTTAGCTTTTGATGTGATGATCAAAAGATTGACTTTCTCGGGAAATCACACAGATTTGTGTTGGACTTGAAAAAGAACAAAGAGAAAACAGAATCTGACTAGGGACGACGACAATAACAGATAAAAGAAAGGAACAAGTAAATTGAAAATGTTCTTGCAAGCAAGAAGAAGGTTTTTCAAGAAGGAGCTCTTCTTGTCGAGCAACAAGATGGAACAAGTAAATTGAAAAGAACGAAAACAAAAAAATAATAATTTGAAAAAGGTTTTACCTCTTCTTCATCAATGAAAAGTTCTTAAATGTTGTAAAAATTCTATGTTTTACCCACCTAATGACCGAATAATCTGAAACCTAATATCGTCCATAAGTGGAAACTGGTCACTTTCAAAATGAGGATGTTTTTAGTAAGAAGAGTAATAAAAACTTGATACACACTTCCTTCTCTCTCTCCTCCCTCTTTCTTCTTTGAAAAATAATATTTCATTAACATAAAAACATACTAGTTGGCTCGCACCATGTTGCCGCAAATTTCTTATTAAACAAAAAAATTAAAAGTAAAATATAAACTTAATTCGTGTTTATGAAATTTAGAAATTATTAACAAAACATTAAAATAAACAAAAAAATGATACAAATAATATTTCACATTCGCAATTTTATTTCTAAATTATTTTTTTTAACAACCTATATATCGATCAACTATATGTC